CTTACTGGGTCATTACCATAGTCTATACAAAGATATTCTATGGATTCCATCATTAATAGCAAACCCAAAACAAAGAACCAAAAATCCTTTCCTTAATCTTACATCTGCTTCAAGCTGACTCACCTCTGGGCTTCCAAAACATTACAAGATTAATCTGTCTATACTTGCTGTGACCTTTTCCTACCTTTATGTTCACTTTTAAATGCAGTGAAATATTGAACATCTACTATGTGCTGAGCACTACTCTAAAATTTCAAAAATGTGAATTTAGTCCAACTCTATGATACACTAGAGATAAGGCAACTGAGACAAATGTTATAAAACTTGCAGAAAGGCTTAAAAACAGCAGTAGACAGGACTAGATTTCAAAACCAGGCAGGATGATAGCACAGTTATGCTCTTATCAATTTAACCTATGCTACTCTGATCTGGTTTAACATAGGGAACTGATCTGCATGGCAATGACGAATGTAGCCCAGCCTGATTCAGAAAACTGGCAGGAGTTGGCACACAGGAACTGGGCCCACAGCTCGCTTTTCCAGTGGGGCACCAGGCCTGCATTGTACCTAGGATGCTTTGAAGTTTGCTTTTGCTAAAACTCCCTCACCCTGAATTGAGGCAGCAAATGTTTACTGCATATCTTTAAAGTAACTTCCTAAAGTCTGTGCTGAACCTCCCAAGGATGGAATGTAAGCAGTTCAACCACTTTTCTTTCCCCTTGCATTTGCAACATCCTTTCCTTTGTTATCTCTAAAAGGTAATCACCTAAAACAAACCTGCGCATACTAAGTGAGGACCATCCTCAATGTAATGTGCCCAGAAAAGCAATAAAAGCTTGTCCGGGCAGGGGTCAGCACTCTGTCACTCAGAGTGGCCATGCCATGCCTTCTTCTCCACAGGACATCTGCAGTCTGTGTGATTTGTTTGTCGCATCCACAACACATGCACCCCACTGGTCAGAGTCCACATCAGTTTAATGACCCCAACAGAGCACCAAAAAGTCTTTTTGTTTACAACGGCTTACATATTGTCAAATCTAAAGGACACTGTGTTCATCTTATTCTATTTTGTAGCAGCAATCAATAGAATGATTGCATCTTCATACACTTTGCTGTCTTAGCTACTAAGGTATCACACCTGCCTTGTTAGGAGACTGGCAGCATTTTTCTAGATGACTTATACTGGAGTGCCAAGGCTCAAACCTAGACTTTCTTGTCCTGTCTATATCCTTTCCCTAAGTGATCATATCCTATTACCTGTCTTTAATGCTTAAAGGCTTATGATTCCAAAGTTACCAAATTGTCCCCTCTGAGTTCTACTAAGTGTCAAAAATAAGCTTTTCAAATCTAAAACACTGCAAACTAAATTTTACTTGCTTCTAAAGTGCTTCTCCATATCCCAGAACATCTTAACCAGTTGTCAAGGCTCCAAAAGTTGACACAGTACTTAATGCCTTCCTTTATCATACACGCCATATAAATCTCAGGACTATTCACTTCCATCTATCTCCAATGTACCATCTCTGTTCCAACCTTTGTCACCTTGCTTCAGTGATTATTTGGCCTCTAAAATGGTCATCCTGACTCTACTCTTGTTCCTATTTCAATCCACTCTACACAAAGCTTCAATGTTCTTATCAAAATGTTTGTGACATCATTGCCATTCTCATAACCCACTACACTTATAAAATCCAAGACTAAGACTCTACAGGCCTGTGCTCCAGACCTATATCAGCCCCTTTGCCCTTTACCTACTAATGTATTATACGAGGTCTGTCCGGAAAAAGTGCAGACATTGTTAATATGAGAATGGTTCATGCAAAATAACATTACCAATAGCTGAAGAAAAGTTGACTGGAATGCGCATGTGTGAACAGTGATGACTTCACTGTTGTAGTCAGTTGGGGCAGTAGACACCATTGAATGAGCATGTGTACTGTGTGGCTGTGGCATTTAAAATGACTGAGCAAGTAGAGCAACACATCTGCATCGAATTTTGCATGAAACTTGAACATTCCTCTGCAGGAGGTATTTGGATTTAGAAGGCCACACTTACTGGCAATGCGTCATTGGCAGCTTCATTAGGACCACACGCCCATTCATACATCATGTCTCATGCAGTTTTTTGGCAAAACATCAAATCACCCAGGTGACTCAGCCTCCCTACAGCCCAGATTTGGATGCCTACAACCTCTGGCTTTTCCCAAAATTAAAATCACCTTTGAAAGGGAAGACATTTCAGACAATGAGATTCAGGAAAATACGATAGGGCAACTGATGGTGATTAGGAGAGCTGTGTGAGGTCTCAAGGTGCCTCTTTGAAGGGGACTGAGGTATCATTATCCTATGTGCAATGTTTCTTGTAACTTATTCAATAAATGCCTCTATTTTCATAATACATGGCTGGATACTTTCTGGGCAGACCTTGCATTTTTTTGTTTTTGAAGGATTTTTAAAAATTCAGTATTTTCATTACTATTTAGCCTCCTTAAAATTCCCTGCCCCCAGGAATCACCATTGTTGTCCATGTTTATACATCCTTTTTCCTCAGTCTCTGCACCCCCTAATTTGGTCCCCTCCACACTGTCATGCCAGGTTATCATTACTTTGTGTGACAAAAAAAAAAAAAAAATCAATCACACTTGTTATTCAGCAGTAATTAGTAAAATTACAAAGCCATGTTTTTCAAAAAATACTTGTTAGCTCTTAATATTTTAAACACAAAACACCTTAAATGTGAAATACATATGCAATCATGCAAGGAAAGCAAAGATAGTACTGTTCACATAACACACAACTATCAAGATTATCACTTGCATTAGTATATAGTTAAGAATAAACAAGGCTCTTTTTAGGTCCCTCACATGGACTGGATACTAGTACTACTCGTCCAATATGGAATTAACCAAGATTTGACAACTTAAGTGTGTAACATTCAAGTCACTTATACCTACATTCTGTCAATCGAGGTGGAGTACAATAAATGTTTTGAGATCTGCCTCCTAACTCAGAGTGAAATGATTCTGAATTGTATTTAAGATTTTTTTAGAGACGGAGAATCAGGGTGCGGTTGCCTCTTGCACGCCCCCTACTGGGTTCCTAGCCTGCAGCCCAGGCACGTGCCCTGACTGGGAATTGAACCAGCGACCCTTTGATTCACAGGCTAGCACTCAACCATTGAGCCACACCAGCCAAGGCTGATTCTGAATTTGATTCAACTTTCCTCTATGAGCCAACAAAATCAGTCTTAGTGGACAAGTGGGGGGCTCTAAGCAATGGCCTATAAATAAATATTAAAAATATTCCCTGGTTTTGTCATCAGTAACACGATTTTATTCTGTTGACTCCAAATTGCAAACAAAAGTAGAGTCCAGAGTTAAGTGAAGCAAAAGACATTATGTAGGAGTTTAGGAAAACATATCTTTTGACTAAAATCCTTTGTTTTCCTTACTGTGGGTGATAAATGCAATTTTTAAATGGTGTACACATATCTGCATAACTTCTTAGTAGACTTAGTATATAACATCCTTTTTTTAAAAGTGGGTGAAGGACTCCGTATTAAAAAGGACTAAGTTTCCTTTAGATAACTAAGTATATAATTCATTTTCATTCCTCAAAAAACGCTAATAAAAGACACACAGTAATGCTGTGGCAATTAAAAAGTTTAAAAGGTTCTGAAAAAATTGTTTTATTTAGAGAGTGGGGAAGGAAAAGAAAAAGAGAGGGAGGGAAAACATCAATGTGCGAGAGAAACATCAACTGGTCGCCTTTTGTACACACCTCGACCAGGAACCAAGCCTGCAGCCCAGACATACTGTGACTGGTAATCCAACCAGTAACCTTTTGCTTCAGGGAACAAGGCCCAAACAAATGAGCTACATGAGCCATGGCTGAAAAGCTCTTTAAAAAGTGGGTTTGAAGTCAACCTCAAATGCTGTATTGCTGATGTTCACTGTTATTCAGGAAAACCTTTAATGACATATTAAGTTACACTGCAAATATGGGCAAAGAAACATCTTCAGGAAGGATTGGTTTACATAACATAATTCTTAGGGTCTGGACCACTTTTCTCATACCCATTTCATCCTCGATGTTGGGGTCCGCCCTGCCTGGTTTTAGGAAGCTGCAACCCCCTATAGCTAAGGCTGTGAGTTCTCCAAACCAAAAGACATTAAGGAGACAAGCCTGTCTCCCTGGCTTGAGCACTGCCTGCTCCATGTCTGGCCCCCATTGCTTCGTGGGTTAGGCAAAGACGGGTAACATACCTCAGAGGAGGATGGACCTAGGACAGGCACAATCACGTGGGAAGGCCCTCAGGAAAGAGACTCAAGGGGGCTGTGGAAATGAGGGGGTGATCGACCCCTACCTCTTCGGCTTTGACAAAGCCCGAGTCCTTATTCTGCACGTGAGAAATCCAAATCTCCCCGCTGCCTTTGTCTCTTCTGCCCAACTCAGGCCTGCAGAAATAACAAGGGGCGGTGCAGTCCAGACCAGAGTCAGCAGACCCCCTGCGGTAATTAGACCTGAGGCAGAAAATATGCAAGATCCTGTGAAACCTGCTTGCTGAGTATGCTCTTAGAATATGAAGGCACGGGCAGGAAATGAAAATAGCCTTTCAGTTCCTGTAGTTTTTAAGTTATAAAACCCCAAACTCAGCGTGAGCCCTTTTAGCTCTTTGAAAGTTATCTACCTGTTTTGATTTTCCCTGCCAGACTGTAATCAATGAACTGTATCTCTATTCCTAATAAAAGCGTACTCAGGCAGTGGCTCGGGGCACTCCCCCCTTGAAGGAGTGACCGTTCCGTTCCTATTCCTTCACAGGACTTGGCAGTCCGTGTGTATTTCTCTCATATCTGGAGTATCTGAAGCAGCCACGGATACTGTTGGCCAGTATCAACCACACCTCTACACTTCTGTAAAAGAAACAATTTGATTGGGCTGGGGGGGGGGGAGGAATTCCTTTCACAATGTGTATGTATATCAAATCACCACATTGTACAGTTTTAATATCTTAACATTTTATTTGTCAACTACACCTCAATAAAGCAGGGAGGAAAACCCAAAGGGGTATATGTATCAAACCACTGGGAGAGAGAAAAGAGTCTTGTAAATGAGATCCAAGTGTTAACATTTAACTCATATTGTGGACATTGGAGGGAACTTCTTTAAAATAAAACTATTAAAGACATTTATTAATACATATCTGTTCCCATGGAAAGACAGGAAATTTGACATTTGAGAAAGTTTATCTAAAATGACAAGTTATATGAAGTCTGTGTATCCTTAATTTAACTAAAACTTCTAAAAATTTCCTAAGCTTAAATATGTTGCAAAATATTACAAAGGTAAAAAGTTACAAATGTATAGACCAACCATATAGTGTATACCATAACATGTTAAAAAAAACAGGCTTGAATTATGCTATTATTTGTAATTTTAATAAAATAGATAATTTTATACTACATAGAGAACAAGTCCACCCACTCATCATTGATAGAATTTTAGAAATATTTTCTATAAAAAGTTTAGTATTTGGGAATAAATCCATTCAAACATGATTTCTATAGGTTATGTTCCCATCCTCAACCCATTCTTTTTGAGAAAATTTAAAAATACAGAAAAGTACAAAAAATAAAACAAGATAGCCATATACCACAATTCAGAACTACCCAGTACTTTGATATATATATTTACTTGCAGTCTCTTGTTTTTAAGAGAAATGGATGTTTACATATAAAAAGCAAGTCCCCATTAACCAATACCCAATCCAACCCCCCACCCCCAACACTTATCCCCTTCCCTTTTCAACTCTTCACAGGAAACCACTATCAAGAGTTTGGTCTGTATCCTTCCATTTCAAAAACATTTTCAACACACACACACACACACACACACACACACGTATCTGTTACTAATATATAGTACTGAACTTTGTGAGTCAAATTTTAATTCAAATATACAAAAATGTCATGGTATTAAGATATGTCATTCTGCAACTTCATTTCCCCCAACATTTTTGATATCTTTCTCTGTAATACATGTAGGTAGATCTCATTTGTTACATTTTACAGATATGTATCCCATCATTCAGTACTTTGCACTTTACTCCTCATGGGCATTTAAGTTGTTTCCAATTTATGGCTACTACAAATCAAGCCACAGTAAATTATAGCCTGGTACATATTTCCTGAGCATACAAACTCAGGAGTAGAAATGGTATGTATTCTTCAATTCATTGTAAGGAATGTTTCCCTACTCCAAAGGTCATAATCATTTTAGTATATACTTTTTCATATTCCTGTTTTTAATCCCCATGGATTTTTAACTTTGTGCATAGTTTATGGTCTACTTTTTTCCTCGGAGAACAAATTATCTCCAAATCATTTTTTAAAGTCTCATTATCTTCTCACATCCTGATGCCATTTCTCTCCCATTCTAAATTCTAATAAATGCATAGGTATTTCCAGAATCTCTTCTGTGTGGCTAGAGCAGTATCATAAAAGTAATTTCCTTTCCAATGCTTGTAACTTAATATTCTTACATTGAAGATCTCCAGATCTACGCAGACAGTAATAATAAGCATGTTTCAACTTAGTGAAAATCCATCTGAAGTTTCAGCATTATCTTTGCTGCAGATTATTTTATTGGTTACAGGACTTTTATAATACAAATGTCTTTCTCTTGAGTACAAATTCTCTGGTGTCCCATAACTTTTCAGTTTTTGTTTCCCTCATTTATGATGTTTTCCTTCAGAATAATTTCTTATGTGCTATGAGATATAAATTCCTGATAAATGCTTTCCAATTTTCCAAATATTCACAGGGTTTTTAATGAGCATGAATTTTCTGGTGTCTAATGTGATGTGACTTCTGGCTAAAAGCTTTCCCACATTCACTACATTGATAAGGCTTCTTACCTGTGTGAATTCTCAAATGCAGAGCAAGAGTTGAGAATTGAGAGAAGGCTTTCCCACATTCATTACATCCATAGGGCTTCTCACCTGTATGGCTTCTTGCATGCACAGTGAGAGATGAACTTTGAGAGAAGGCTTTCCCACATACATTGCATTCATAAGGTTTATCGCCTGAATGAATTCTCACATGTACAATAAGTGATGTTCGTTGAGAGAAGGCTTTTCCACATTCATTACATTCATAGGGTTTCTCTCCAGTGTGAATGTTCTGATGTTTTATGAGGTACTTCTTCTGGCCAAAAGCTGTTCCACATTCACTGCATTTAAAGGGTTTCTCTCCAATATGAATTTTCTCATGCTCAGTAAGGTTTGACTTGCCACTGAAGGTTTTCCCACACTCCTTACATACAAAGGGCTTCTCTCCTGTGTGAGTTCTCTGGTGTCTAATGAGGTTTGACTTCTGAATGAAAGCTTTTCCACAATCTTTACACTCAAAAGGCTTCTCTCCAGTGTGAATTTTCTGATGGGTAAGAAGGTTTTCCTTCTGGCTGAAGGATTTTCCACATTCATTACATTCAAAAAGCTTTTCTCCAGTATGCGTGTTCTGATGTTTAATGACATACTGCTTTTGGCTGAAGGCTTTTCCACATTCATTACATTCAAAAGGTTTCTCTCTATTATGAAAATGCTCATGCTCAGTGAGATTTGATTTGTGGCTGAAGACTTTCCCACATACTTTACAGGCAAAGGGGTTTTCCCCACTACAAATTCTCTGCTGACTGAGGCGTGACATCTGAATGGAAGCTTTCCCACATTCACAAGGTTTCTCTCCAGTATGAATTTTTTGGTGAATGAGACTTTACTTCTGACTGAAGGTATTTCCACATTTCCTACATTTGTAGAGATTATCTGTTTATGATCTTTTAAATGTAAAGGAAGAGATAGGTTTGAGATACAACTTTATCATACCGGGTTCAAAGCTTTTTCTTCAAGTATAAATTTTCTAGAACTCAATAAAGTTTTGTTACATTCACTGGTTTTTCTCCAGTATCAATTTTCTTCTACTCAATGATGTATGTCAAGTAGCTAAAGGCTTTTTAATATTCCTTAGAAGCAAAGGGTTTCTCTCTAGCCTGATTTCTACATTTCATAAGGTGTGACACATAAGTACAAGTTTTCCCACATCAGTAACTTCACACGGTATGAATATTCTGGTATCAGATGGGGTTCAAACTTTTTAAACTGAAGGCATTTCCACAGATTTACACTTATTACCATAAGCAATAACCTGTGTCAGGATTTCCAAATTAACACAACTGATGATTTTGTTCCTATACAACATCCCTCAAGATTAAGTCTAAATTGTGTTTCAAACTCTTCCAAAGTAAGTTGAAAAGGGTGTTGCTTTAACAGATATGCAGTCTGAGATCAAGGAAGTATTTTTCCAATTTCCTTATTATATTCAATGATTTTTTCCTTTGGTCTGTACCTCATTGAAGACAGATGTAACTTGCCTCCCAAGTCTTGCTGCCTCTCTATCTGCTCATCATCTTCTCAGGTGTCTTCTAAAATGGAAGACAAAGAATCATCATTTAAAGGAGTTAATGTATAAAGTCCTGAGAACTGTGGCTGGCACATGATAAGAGCTCAATAAATGTTAGTTTTATATTATTATCATTATTTACAATTTCCCATTACTAGCGATAAAATTTGTTTGTGCTTTTAGAGATCAACTCTGCTAGTTGATTTCACAATATGAATAAAGGCTCATGACCAATATTTCCAACTAAATTTTGAGAAGAAAACCCTTGTTGAAAATTAACATTCATTGGTACACAAGGCCTAGATTACTTTTGAAAACTAAACTTTTACCATTTCATAATTAAGCAATGAATGTAATAATGAGTAATTAATAAATAAGATAAAAAGATGACCACATAAAAGTAAGAAAATCTACATAAGATACCTAAGGGAAAGGAATAACCAACAATTGCTTCCTCCCTAAACTCCATTAAATGACAAAAGGGAAAATGGCCCAAACTTACATGAAAAAGAAATATAATAGTATGATAGGAGACATCAATATACACAGATATTAACAAACTTTTTTTTAAAGTTGACTTTTATTTTATTTATTTTTTATGCATGCATGTATTTTTTTTTAGAGAGGGAAGGGAGAGAGATAGATAGAGAGAAACATCAATGTGCAGTTGCTGGGGGTCATGGCCTGCAACCCAGGAATGTACCCTGACTGGGAATCGAATCTGCGACACTTTGGTTCGCAGCCCGCACTCAATCCACTGAGCTACGCCAGCCAGGGCTGATATTAACACACTTTTTGATAACATAAAGCAAATGGAAGATTTTCAACACGGAAGAGCTGAGGAAGTTCAAATAACATAAAGGTACTGAGGTAGAGGATGCCGAAGTCAAACAAGCTAATTTGCGCTGTAAATTATCAAAAAGACTCAGAAAATGGAGGGAAATCAAATACCTCAAAACAAAGAATAAAGGATGGTGGTTGAAAAAGTAAAACAACATACTGCATAAGGTGCAGTTGGAAAATTATACTTTGCATAAATTTAATCAGAGAAGCTCCAGACACAAGTGACACCCAGCAAATGAGAGGTCAGGAGAGAGGTGCTGTACTGTAATCAATGTGATTAAATCTGTATATTAATTACATGGTGAGACCTTCAGCACAATTCTGCAACTGAGGCAAAAAGAAAAAAAAAAAAAGGTTGGCAACCAAGTATATATATCTGTGACCAGAATATGTAAGGATCTTTCTCTGCACAAACTGAAAAGCCATGAAAAACCTCAGTAGGAGCCCTGGCTGGCGTAGCTCAGTGGATTGAGAGAGGGCTGGGAACCACAGTGTCCCAGGTTCAATTCCCAGCCAGGGTACATTCCTGGGTTGCAGGCCATAATCCCCAGCAACCGCACATTGATGTCTCTGTCTCTGTCCCTCTCCCTCCCTCCCTCCCACCCTCCCTCCCTCCCCTCTCTAAAAATAAATAAATAAAATCTTAAAAAAAGAAAAAAAAACAAAACACCTCAGTAGGATATCCTTCCAGGATAATCCTTTTTGCTTCTATTATTTCTTTTACCAAAATGAAGGACCTGGCCACACCTAAGTATATGAGAGTAAAGCAGTATAATCCTTCTACAAGGAGGATACTCTGGGTCTATAAGGCATTTTACTTTTGATCCACTGAAGCCTAACAGATAACTAGAAGAACCCCAGCACAGGAGTTTATCTTTTAGTGAATCCTTCTTGAATATGACCGTGCAGCCGATATTCTACACATTTGAGGAGTCCCACTAACAGTAAAGATCAGCATCAAGAGAAAACAAGAAGTTCTAAGGAAGTAAAAGTAAGGCAAAGCAAATAACAGAACACTATAACCAATCATGGAAGTTATGAAAAATATTTATAAGTGAAACAAATATAAAATTTTATAAGCAAGAAACAGAAAAACAAGTTCCCTTAGAAATTAAGACCAAAGGGACGGGAGAAAGGTGAGGTAAGCTATATTACCATTCACCAATAACAGGGCCTTCCTACTGCAGAAAGATTATTGTTTCACTTAGGAAACTTAGGCATGGCCAGGAACCTTGCTTGACCAATGAAAGATAAGCACAAGTAACAAGTATTATTTCACCATAGAAGCTTTAAAAAGACAAATTCAGATGATAAACCAAGGTAATATGTATAACACCTAACTAGATTACTGCAATAATGGTAATGAAAGGCCTAAGATAAGAGCTATCAGGAGGGAATACAAGCAGCCCAGATTGGAGGACAAAAATTCTAGGAATAGTATCTCCAAGGAAAAAATGGAGAGAGATTTCCCAATGCATTTGATAATGTGGTAACTAGTACTGAGAGGGCTTTTAACTATTCTGAGGCAAGACCAAGAGAGTCTGTGATAAATATATAGAAAACCAAGGCAACAAAGTATGGCAAAAATGAATTCCATTAAAATATATATAAATATATATATATAAATAAAAAGTATACCCCCACACAAATAACTATATACACATATACTTTTGTTATACACCAAAGAATGATAGTTGTTTCACCTCTGTAAATAATTTAAGTTGTAAGCTAAGCTAGTCTCTTTTTTGACAGACACCATTAATTTGCTTTAAGTAAACTAATGACTAAATGACTGCCTTAAAAACTGATTATTCACACTTGGATATGGTTTGGCAGGTACTTTCTCCAGACAGATCAAAGACGATCCTTCCTTCAAAGGGAGAAACTGACAGTACACATTGCCAAAGATAAAATTTGAGTTTTCAAAAAATTAGAATTTCTGTAAATTGGTATCCTCCACAAGGTTGGTAGCTTCCAAATTCTTGACTTTTCTAATGAGAGTGCTGGTGATGTTAACAAAATATGATGTTTGATGTTATATGATGAGATACGTGAATGTTTGAAAGATCTGCATAACCTAATTGACTGATGCATAATATTATAAGATCATGCATGGGTTAAGAGATCCATTACAAGTTTAAGACACTTCAAAGGTTTAAGACATGGATTTCACAATAAAACCTTTGATATACCTTCAAACTCCACACTGAGGCTAATCTTGAAAAAATTACCACTTGTCAAGTGTTAGTGGTGTATCAAAAAATATCCATAAATATGAACAAGCTATTTTAACTGTATCTGTATAAAGCCACAATTTTAAAAAATACTTCAACTGAAACAGGTTATAAAAGCAAAAATGAGATCCCAGCTATATTTTATTAAGCCAGTGAAGATATTTACAAATATGCAAATATACGATATCACTTTCCTCACCATTATTTTTACTTTGGAAAATTATTACTTTTATGAGACATGTAATGTAAGTTGGGAACTTCTGGCCAAGATGGAGGTGTGGGTAGACACACTGTTCCTCCTTGCACAACCAAAAGGACAAGAAATTTAAAAACAAAACACAACCAGAACTGACAGAAAATCCAACTATATGGAAATCTGACAACCAAGGAGTTAAAGAAGAAACATTCTTCCAGACTGGTAGGACGGGCAGGGAGGCACAGAGATGGGCAGCTGGATAGAGACGACTCACAGCAAGGCAGTGGCTGGAGGACTGGGTGGTCCCACATTTGCGTGCAGACAAATCAGGAGGAACAACTGTGGAGAGATACAGACCGCGCAACCCACAGTTCCAGCATGCGGAAATAAAGCCTGAAACCTCTGACTGAAAACATCTGTGGGGGTTGAGGCGGCAGCTGGAAAAACTTCCAGCTTCACAAGAGAATTGACTGGAGAGACGAACAGGGTCCTAAAACATACACAAACCCACCCACTTGGAAATCAGCACCCAAAGGGCCTAATTTGATTGTGGGTAGCAGGGGAAGAGACTGAAAACTAGCAGAGAGTGGAACAAGCAGCACTGTTCCCTTTCAGACCCCTCTCCCTCATACAGCATCACAACGCAGGAAGGTTGGTTGCCCCACTGTGGTGAACACCTAAGGCTCCACCCGTTACTTCATTACAGGAGTGCCCAGAGAGAAAAAAACAATGGCTCAAATGAAAGAACAGATCAAAACTACAGAAAAAATACAACTAAGCGACAAAGAGATAGCCAACTTATCAGATACACAGTTCAAAACACTGGTTATCAGGATGCTCACAGAATTGGTTCAATATGGTCGCAAATTAGAGAAAAAAATGAAGCCTATGCTAAGTAAAATAAAGGAAAAATGTACAGGGAACCAAGAGTGACTGGAAGGAAACCAGGACTCAAATCAGTGATTTGAGGCAGAACGAAGAAATAAACATTCAACCAAAACAGAATGAACAAACAAGAACTCAAAAAAATGAAGAGAGGCTTAGGAACTTCCAGCACATCTTTAAATGTTCCAACATCTGAATCATAGGGGTGCCAGAAGGAGAAGACGACGACCAAGAAATTGAAAACTTATTTGAAAACATAATGAAGGAGAACTTCCCCAATCTGGCAAAGGAAATAGGCTTCCAGGAAGTCCAGGAAGCTCAGAGTCCCGAAGAAGTTGGACCCAAGGAGGAACACACCAAGGCACATCATAATTACATTACCAAAGATTAAAGATAAGGAGAGAATCTTAAAAGCATCAAGAGAAAAGGAGACAGTAACCTACAAAGGAGTGCCCGTAAGACTGCCAGCTGATTTCTCAAAAGAAACTTTGCAGGCAAGAAGGAGCTGGCAAGAAGTATTTGAAGTCAAAAAAGGCAAGGACCTTAATCCAAGATTACTCTATCCAGCAAAGCTATCATTTAGGATGGAAGGGCAGATAAAGTGCCTCCCAGATAAGGTCAAGTTAAAGGAGTATATTGTTACCAAGCTTTTATTGGATGAAATGCTAAAGGGACTTATCTAAGAAAAAGAAGATGAGCAAAAATATGAACAGTAAAATGACAACAAACTCACAAATATTAACACCTGAACCTGAAAAAACAAAAACAAAAACAAACAAACAAAAACTATAGGAATAGAATCACAGAAATGGAGATAACAGGGAGGGTTATCAGTGGGGGAGTTGGTCGGGAAAGGTGGGGGGA